ATATATATATATACATACTAAAATAAACTACTACTTGTACTACTATTCCTACTTTGCGGTTTTTCACTTATCGCAAAGTTTCAGGGTACAGATCCCTCGCGATAAACGAGCGAATGCTGTATAGCTTTTTTTTATTGTTGGGAACATGACACATAGGGCTATAACATTTTGCTTTGTTTTTCAGCTAACTTCCTCAGTTTGTTGAAATATAAATGCACAAAACATGTTCAGAACAAAGAACGTTTACTCTTGCTGTGAGCCAAAAGTTTAACAGTAAAACAACAACCATCACACAGTGAGTTAAGATGTGGCGGCACGGTGGATCAGTTAGTAGAGCTGCTGCCTCTCAGCGAGATGGTCACCAGTTCAAATCCCGGCCAGGGACCTTTATGGGTGGAGTTTTCATGTTCTCTCCGTGCATGCGTGGGTTTTCTCCAGGTACTCCGGTTTCCTCCCACAGACCAAAAACACACATGTTAGGCTGATAGGTAACTCTAAATTGTCCCTAGGTGTGCGTGAGAGAGTGAATGTTTGTTTGTCTCGTTTGTCTCATGTGTCCCTGTGAAGGACTGGAGACCTGTCCAGGGTGTCCCCCGCCTCTCACATAGTGATAGCTGGAAATGGGCACCAGTGACCCCCACGAGCCAAAGGGGAAGAAGCAGCTAAAGATAATGGATGGATCAGCTATTTTGAGGTCTACTCAGTTGAGATTGATGTGCATGTTATCGACACAGGCGACACAAATTCTGTTGGGAATAATTACATTTAAGCAACACTGGGTGTGCATGTATTCTACTTGAAATATTTTTGCAGGATCTCGCAATAGTACTTCTTGATTTTATGCCTCCAGTGTCCTTTCAGGGCTCAGTAATAACCTCACATACCTCTTAAGTTGAGATAAAGCAGCTCCACTCATCCTCACTGAGATGGATGTTATTACTTATCTGTGATGCATCTCTGTTGCATGAAATAAATTGTGGTTGCCATGACAGCGAGGAGCATGTCTGCACAACGATTGGCCATTGGGCTAATTGGCTTTGAACTCCCCCAACATTTGGTCTTTCAAGTATTGATTCGTCAAGTTGTTTGTGTTACTCGGTGTTGGCTTTCTTGGCTGCTTTTGATTCTTTTATTTCAAGCTGAAAATTGTTGTAACGCAACGGTAATGGCCATACATTACAGACCACAATAGAGACTGAGTGTGCTTGTAGGGAAGACAGCTGGTCGGAAATTCCTGAGAAGATGTGAGATGCATTTGAAGCCAACTCAACCCAATTTACAGCCAACACTTCAGGGCATCCTGTTGTTTTATAATGGTGTGTTATAAATGTAATGTGCTCTTGTTCTAGCCACATAAATAAAAATATGTGTCCATCACCTAACATTGAACTGGCTAAACAATATGCCTTTACTGTCAGTAATTTTGTAATGTTAACATGGTTTTTATTAATGTTTTCCATTCCTCTCAGTTTGGTTTTTTTGGTCACATCATAATTAGCCAAGAAATTCTTGGATGACAGTACAAGCTGTTTAGGGTTTCTGCCTCATCTCTCTTGGAAAATGCACTTAGCGGAAACAAGAGATGCAAGAATTTGGATACTTTGGGTGGGGCAGGGGCTCATGTTTACAGCTCTGTAGTTGAAAAGCCAAATGGCTGTTCCTCTGATTTACCATTAGTCATTGCGTAGCAGCGGAAGGATCTTTGAACACATCTTTTTTCTTTTTATTCAGACGTCTTGGCAGGGCTACAAATATAATGAAAGCAATTAAATGAAGCTGCCCCGGACGACAGCATGAGCAGTAGGCAAATGAAATGTCAAAATGTTGTTTGTGTTTGTAAGAAGGTTGGGAATTTCTCACAGAAGCAAGGGTAAAGGCAGGTCATCCTCTGTTATTTAGAATAAACATCACTCCTCTGAGTTTCACGGAAATTTGCAACAATTGCGGTTGGAGCATTTGTTTTTCTATTCACTGTTATTGACGGTTGTGACACCGTATTCTGCGTTCAATAAATATTTCATGACCCCCGAGAGAGAGCCGACCCATTAAAAATTCATGGTAAAATGTCTAAAACACACGGATCTCTACGGGAAAATCAGGCATAGATTTAGAGATTTCGGCAGAGCAGCGTTCGTGTGTTTTGACGTGGATGTTTTTGCTCTTGCGTGAGCAATTACACATCAGCACACAACTGCTGAGTATGGTCAGTTTGAAATGACTGAAATCTGTGTCATGCCTCGGCTCTGTCCCGAGCTTCGCACAGAATAATTTATGGTGGCTTTTATTCCTCTTTCGCTCTTCTTGTAAAGAAAAGGGTCTCGACATGGTTTCTCCAGACAATTCTATCCGTGCAGTATTATTCCTTCATTAATATTCAATGCGACTTTTCTGCCAGGGAGTT